TACCAAATAAGTTGTAACATTTACCTAGTCCGAATAACTAATTATTAAGCTAACATTTATTTCAATATTACAATTAAAAAAGAAAATGTCTGGCTGCGGTAACGTTTCAAACGTAACCAAAGCAGGAAATGTTTTTTTGAAATAACTAAAAAAGTTTAAGTAAAACAAATTTAAAAATGTGCCTAACAATTACAGAAGGGGAGTAACTAATTATCTATAACGTTTAAATGACCATTTTCGACATTATTTTGCTGGGGTAACGCACACGATTGAAACAACAAACGTCGAGTGAGAAAAAAAGAATATTTGCCCATAGTAGAACCAGACGGATCCAAATCTATTTTTTTTTTTGAATTAGCGTTTTTGTCATGAAGGCAATTCTTTAATACCACAGTGACCTAAGTGATAATAGTACTATTTTCCTGGAAAACTGTAAATCTCACTGTATGGCTTTCTGACTGACATTATCAAGATCATTTCGGTGATCCAAGTGATTATTTTGGTGTAACACTTAAATTTTTGTTACAATTAATTAGAAATATGGAAGGAAACACTGTAATAAGTTCAATTCAACATGTTAGGCATGATTTTAATAGTAATGAGGCTTTCCTTTTTTGCACAACGAGTATAAACACGTTTTCCTAGTTTTCTCAAAAAGACAAAACCAGATACCCACGGGATGAATAAAGGTGGTGACACTCCGTATTCTTAATCCGTCACCACACGGACTGCCCTACAAAAATAAGGAAACCTAATGGGTGAGAGGGGGAACTGTTATACATGGTTATGTCATGTTCAATGCAAAATCATGGTTTCGGAAAAGTTAAATCGCCTATTTTGTTTTTAAGCTATTGCATAGCTTCTCTCGTGGGCCTTGAGCGTGGAGACCGAATCCAGAAATTCCGTAACTAAAATAACCTAACACCCGCCGCTCTGACCGGCACAGCGGTGATACTTTTTAGTTTTGCCATCTATCGATGAATACCAGAACATTTAATGACTTTTTGAAATATCACGCTTCTCTTTAGTTCAGCAACTCGCCTCTAGGTGGCATTGGTTGTGACGCGGTATTTTCCAGATATTTAGAAGATATCAAGTCTCAAACTTATAGTCCGGGAGGTACCGTTGCAAATGAAAAAGTCATAGTAAGCCGGCTGATATTGTCATCGATGGTTGATCTAATATGACCAATAAGTGAACCAACCGTCAGCTGCTCAAGTAGCGGTGGGTGCGGGTGTGTGTGGTTCCGGAAGTGGTGAAAAAAAATAAAAAAATAAGTCATAGTACGCCGGCTGAAATTCTTTTAATAAATATTTTACATCATACAGAGCTAAAAAAAAATCGTCAGCTGCATAGTGGAGGGGGGATTATGCGTCAGCCGCTCGCTTGAACTTGTAAAAAAACACGTAAAATAAAGTTATAGTACGCCGGATGAAATTTAACTAACTGATTGTTTAAATTATCAAAAGTACGAAAACAACAATCAGCTGCGTGGGTAGCGGTGGAGAGACCGTCAGCTGACGCAGTAAAAGTTAAAAATATTGGAGCATTGCTACTACGCTGTCTCCTTTTAAACACATATTTCGACATAGATTCTGTCTCACTCCTCGATATTTAAAGTTGGTAGAACTGTCAAGTGTCACTTGCAATTGACACGACTTCACACCAGTCACTTCTCGCAAATTTCTCACTTCACAGTAATTAATTGCGTGTGACTCCGATTTTCCTGCACTTTCCACAACTTGATCTTTGTTGATAGTAGCAGAGTAGTGTTATTAGCACGGGTTTAAGTACAGTTTCGAGATATTTTTGTCGAGACTGATACGTCTGTTGCTTAGCAAGCCGAAACGGAAATCAACACATATTTCGACATAGATTCTGGAGCTGCCTGAGACCATAACACGACCTTCGGGTTACCCAAGCCTCTCCCCCTAAAATTTCAAAGGAACATCAGTTTCGGTTGTACTCTTTAAAGAACGGACGCAAGTTCGAATATGTCGAAGATCCAACCGTTCTGTCTGTTCTGTGGCATAAAAAAGAAATTTTAATATCTTTTTCTGACAAAACCATAAAAAAATGCTCCTCTATATTGGAGACTAGCTGACCCGCGCAACTTCGTCTGCGTCTCTCAATAGTAATAAATTTTCTCCGTTTTTGAAACATTCTTCATTGGTGCTCCGCTCCTATTGCTCTTAGCGTGATGATATATAGCCTATAGCCTTCCTCGATAAATGGGCTATCTAACACTGAAAGAATTTTTCAAATCGGACCAGTAGTTCCTGAGATTAGCGCGTTCAAACAAACAAACAAACAAACAAACTCTTCAGCTTTATAATATTAGTATAGATTCGTCAGAAAAATAATTTATCTTTGAAAACTGTCAAAATGCCGTTAGAATTGAACGATTTTGAAAAATATCATTCAAAGTGTTATCGACAATTTACCGCTTTACCGCCAAAATCTATACTAATATTATAAAGCTGAAGAGTTTGTTTGTTTGTTTGTTTGTTTGAACGCGCTAATCTCAGGAACTACTGGTCCGATTTGAAAAATTCTTTCAGTGTTAGGTAGCCCATTTATCGAGGAAGGCTATAGGCTATATATCATCACGCTAAGACCAATAGGAGCGGAGCACCAATGAAGAATGTTTCAAAAACGGAGAAAATTTATTACTATTGAGAGACGCAGACGAAGTTGCGCGGGTCAGCTAGTACAGGATAACTTTTGATACTCCTTCAACATCTGCAGCGTCAAGGTATGTTGATTGTAGTTCATTTTGATTAATACTGTTTAATATTAATAATATCGAAGTTTATAGCGTTGATACGCAACGAAAAATATTTTTATTTCTTTTTAATCCTGAAAGGATTAAAAAAAATACTTTAATAAATTTAATTTACTTTTTTTGTTCTCAACTTTAAAATAAGATTTTTAAAATGTTTGCCTCTTATATAGATAAAACAGAATTTCATTACATATGAACGATACAAATTTCATCAAGGTCATTTCATGTGAAAGAACAAAATATTTTCTTCTAGGTCGAAACGAGACGCAAATATCCCGAATTGTACAATAGACCACGTCTTTGCAACGATTGAAGAATTTGTTTGTCGTCTGTACGGATTCTAAGGGATAAAGGATGTCAACGCTACACGAGTCGCCACGTTTAGTAAAAATTACGAAACTAATAATAATAACGATATGCTGAAGTGGAAAAACCGTATCGACCATGTAAATCGGAGCTACGCCAGCATTTACTGCGTACTTCATACATCGCGCACCTTTGGAGCCATGCTCACCTTCAAGAGCCTTCTCAATTATCTCCCATTGACTGAGGATGGGAAGAAAAAGAAGACAAATATGTTTTCAAATGGTTCGAGGGATATCAAGTATAGTATCAGGTGATGAAGAAGAGGCTCGAGATCAGGAACACGAAAAAGATGAAGAGAACAATCTGACAGACGAAAGTTCTGATAACGATTCATCTGGGGACGACGACGATAGCGATACTATCGATTACGAATAATTCTATATCGATTTCTATCTTTCTATCTCTTTTTTTTTTAATTCCCTTTATATTAGTTGATGATATTTCCATTTTACTCTTCATATTATTTTATATTATGCATTTCTTTCATCTATGTAAAATAAAACAAGAAAAACAGCAAAATATTTTCGTACGATATTGTTACACATGCTATAAACTTCTCGAGATTATCATTAAATTTTCAATATGCCGGTTGAAATTAGACAAGACTGTAGTTTAATAGTTACGTTTGCAAAAACAATCAGTCAGTTGGGGGCGGACAGGGGAGTTCTGTCAGCTGGACCCTGAAAGAAACTGTGCATTACTCGAATAATCTATATCCTTAGTGCGTCAGCTGACGGTCTTTCCACCGCTACCCACGCAGCTGATTGTTGTTTTCGTACTTTTGATAATTTAAACAATCACTTAGTTAAATTTCATCCGGCGTACTATAACTTTATTTTACGTGTTTTTTTACAAGTTCAAGCGAACGGCTGACGCATAATCCCCCCTCAACCATGCAGCTGACGATTTTTTTTTAGCTCTGTATGATGTAAAATATTTCTGAAATGAATTTCAGCCGGCGTACTATGACTTAATTTTTTATTTTTTTTCACCACTTCCGGAACCTTTCAATCCTACACCCACCGCGGGTGCGTCAGCTGACGCTCGGTTCACTTATCAGTCATTCGACATCTATTGAACAAGATGGCAACCGACCGGCGTAAAAACACTACCTAAAATGCAACGGTACCTCCCGGACTATTATGTTTCTTATTTCAGTTACCATAAACCTATGTTTCAATGATAAATATTCCTGAATAACCTACATGTATTGTAAGATAATAGAAATATTTCAAACAATATTAACTTATTTATTTAATAAAAGAAAAAATATTGTTTTCTTATCGGTCACCACGCTCAAAAAGTGTAACTTGAATAAATATCAAAGAAAAAAAAACAAAGGAACAAAATATTGCATAAATAAAATAAATAAATAATTATAATTGCATAAGTTGATAAAAAATGCTATGCAATAGCTTTACCGCGGCAGTCCCCGAGCGCCACACGTCTTTTTTTGTGTAAATATATCCTGTGTACCTACTAGCTGGCTGGGCTGGCTGGCTGGCACTTAGTATTTCAAACAACACATACTTAAACTCCACGGCGGGCGTACGGGTGCATGCACCACATTGAAATAATACAAAAATACTATTTTTAATTTTACATTAGTTTATTAAATCTTAACTAGTTACATGTTAATATTATCAAACCTTATTGTAATTAAAATATTAGCTCGTCGCCCACAACACGCACAAATGTGACCTTTTACACTGTAGTACAGATCACGACCGCGTTGGTTGTTTTAATATTGTAATAGTGTACTATTCGATAATACTAGAGACGATCTAATATATTACCTTTTAGAAATGTACTCGATACATCGCCATTATAAAATGTCTTTTTGTAATGCTCAAGACCAAAGTTCTGTTTTGCAATTAAATATCCGATTTGTGTTTAACAAATATCTATTTTCTCTGGATTCGTTATTTGTTACAACAATTATATTTTTGTGTTTAATCGCTACCGCAAGTTCGTGCACCGTGTCACCGGCGGTAGTCCGCGGCGCGTGCCACACGATGATCAGCACCTTGTCAGTTTGTCTTAACTCTGCCCAGAGTGAGCCGCGGTCGTTGTCCAACAACAAACTGAACACGTAATCCAACTCCAGTATTGTGTAATTGTTGTCAGAGTCGTTGTTTTTTAAAAACTGAATCACTTCTATAGCGGTTGGTGCGACCGTGTCTGTCTCTATGAGCGTTCTACAAGGAATTTCAAGTATTTCTTTCCACTTTGAATTCCTTTTATTGAAACTATTGCCTAAATATTTAAAATACTTCATATGAAACTTTGTATGGAACTCACTTATGAGCGGTTCTGTTGTTATATTATACGACGTTAGCCTGTACAAGTCCCTCGTTTCGGTGCGACGTGTATCAGTTCCCCGCGATATCCACTTGACGATGCCGTCTGCGTAACGGAAAAGTGTTTTAGTGAGATTCGTGTTTGTTGTTAGCGATGTCCACCATTTGACTGTTTCACTGTGGTAATGTAACAATGACAACTGAGATTTGATTGTAAAGTGCTTGTACTGTTGAGAACGTTGCGGACTTTCTCTTTCGAGAATGTTCTTCAGCCAGTGACGGCTGCCTCGCTCGGTATAAATTGCCAGGTTATCTAAAAACTCTTGGGCTGTATTGCTACAGTCCACATGAAGTTTAGAAAACTTCTTACATTTTAACCTAAATCTATATTCATGGAGATTCTTTATTTTATCCGACAGTTTCTCAAATAATAGTTTTGCGTTCTTCTGCGCACCGGTGAATTGGTGTGCGTTTGAAAACTTGAGCATATCTGATTGCTCGTCGTGAGTCAGCATGCGCCCGACAGCTTTGGCTAAGGCTCTATTATATCTCAACAACCTGTGGTCTCCGGCGTCATCGATCGTGACTACTTTGTACAAATCCGTTTGGTCAAATTGTTCACATAACTCAAAGATACCATCCACGGCGTAGTCCACAAAGCTGATCGGACTTCCATCTACCACCAACTCGACATCAGCTAAATCAACGGGTACTTTTAGTCGCAGTGAGCGCAGATACTCTATTACTGCAGTCCTAGTCGCACTTAATGCTTCGTCTATCGCAGATCGTTGAATCTTGATTTGTCTTAGTCGCTCTATATCTTCTGGAGGTCTCTTAATGGCAAATTTTAATTCACCCTCTTTACAGCAAACGATAAAAGCACCAATTAGAGGAGTTAATGTAGCAACTGACGGCTCAGACAAGAACGATGATATTAGTTCGTCCGGTGTTAAATGATTTGAAAGATTAACTGCCGGTTTATAGAGTATTTCGTCTATCAAATAATTTCTTAGTTTCATAGTATGTGTGTCCTCCGTATCCAAAAAGTCAGTACGAAATATCAAAATTTGCCAATCAGGATTGTCCAAATTGTCTTTCTCTTCTAAGATCTCATGAAAGTGATATTGCTGTACACAATCGAAGTCTCTCAGGACAAATGTGCTAGATACACCTTGAGACAAAATTGACACTAAACGCTGCGCAAACAAGGAAAGCTCTTTTTTAAGTACAATATTTGCAAATTCTTGTACAATTTGCTCGCAGTGATGCAGCCGACAACGAACTGTGTTTGTGGTAGCTATCAAAGTATTGAAAGCGCGAACAGAGCTGGGCTCGTGGCTTGAGTAGGAGCCTATCGTGAACTCTTCATTGTTGTACAGAATGTACGAGTACTTGGGCAATGTGCATGTATCGTCCGCTCGCTCGGAAACAGTTTTGTTATTACTTTCAAAACCACTGTCATTGAAGTTAATTGCATCATCCTCATTTTTGTGTTCCAGACGCATCAACAGGGGGACGTCTCGCTTCTGCCCCATTATTTCTATTTTGAGACGGATATCGTAGAAGTAACGCATTTTATCCATATTCGGGGCTAAAGAATAATCTCTTTTGAAGGTGTTGTTCCGAAGTATAAACAGAGCTGGAACGACAAAATGTTGTTTTAGATGGACCTTCATTCGACTGATTATATAACTTTGGAGATATTCAATGACATTTTGACGAGTGTCGTCATTGACTGCTGCCCAATAGCTTACTGTGAATGCATCTCTGAATGTCGTGAAAGAAATGTTTTCATAGTCGTCCACCGACGAAGCCAATATTCTGATGCGCTGCCTTTGTGACAAATTATCAAGGGTTAGATAGCTACGGTAATCGGTGGCATATATCGGCGGCGGTTCCTCTATCTCTTTCAAAACATTTTGAAGTGTATGGTCTATTTTTTTCTTCGCGTCCAACCAGTCTCGGATTCCCTTGTCGGCGACGAATGTTAACGCACAATACCAAAGGACTTTTTTGGATTTGTTAAACTTCTGGCTTTTTAGAATGTCGCAGGCGTACTCGGCAGCAAAATATTCTGTAAACGATCTGTGTATGAACACTGCTACCTTGTTGGCCGTTACATGGGAAATTAGACCAGTCTTGTCTGCACCTGTCTTGATTCTATCGAGTTCCGTGTTCAATTCTTCTTCGTCTATAGGCGTCATATCTTTGAATTCTTCGAATCTCAATAACCTGAAAATGGAATCTTGAATGAGAGCATTTGCAGCGAGTTTCTTGTAAACGCGTGTGCGATCACAGAGTTCTCTCTCTATTAAGCCTCTTGTGATCGGATTAGACAACTCCATGTTGTTTTTATCTTGGAAAAGTACTTTTTTCAGTTTATTTTCTACAAACATTTCATATACGTCATGCAGGTTAATAATCGATTCAGATTTGACAAGCTTTTTGTCAATTTCGACTATATTTACGAAATAATCGGCCATAAAGTATAAGATTAAAGGGATTCCAGACATTGTATCTTCTAGGGGTCTTCCCCTAAAGCGTTCTAAATGTGCGTCTATTTCTGCGTCGTCAGACCGACACAACAAAAGTCGGACAACATCAACAAAATTGTAATATATGAACTGTATCCACTCGTGTACCTCGGATATCGATCGGCCTGCGTTTTCCATGAAGACTTCTAAATTTTCAAGCTGTTTACAGAGTTTCTCATTTATGGACTTTTCTCGCCAAAATCTTTTAAGGAATGATTCTTGCTCTTGATAACTTAGATGTTCCATTTCAAATCGTCCACCTAGAGTTGTCTGTAGGTCTGGCAGGATGTCGCTGTACGGCCTGCTCGTTACCCACATTTTGTTCTTCTTAAGATGTGTTTTAACGGCAATGAGGAAATCAACAACCGTATCCTTGTAATGCGGACAGATCTCATCAAAACCATCAAAGACAAATATCGATCTTCTCTTGTTATAATAATGCAGGAACATGTTTAGTTCAAAAGTTATGAGTCCATCGGCTGCGCAGTACAATAGAGACGCTTCGTCATTTGTTATTTGAACGCTAAATGATACGCTCTCGTCACCTATCACGACTTGACACAAAAACTCCAACGCCTCCACTGCACCCACGTGTGTGTCCTCCTCGCACCATTTGTCAAACTGTTTGGAGAAGTTTATAAAGTTTACTCGGACTATCCACAGCGTCGTATCTCGCTCTTTCGTGTTGATTGATAAGTGAGTGAGTAGTGTCGACTTGCCCATCCCCGGGGGGGCTGTCAGAAAAACCACCTCATCTGCGACATCGTGAAACGTTTTGACGAGATAACGCGCGTTATGTTCGTCGTTGTTATCTTCGCTCACCCAACAAACGCTCCTGTCAATATACAGATGTTTTACTTCCTCGTAACGTGGATTACTGAGCGAAACGCCCAGGGATATAGTTTCATTACGAGTTAGTTTATCTAATACAACACCTTCTATAAATGAGAGGGACACGTCGTCTAACATTAGGTCCAAGCTGAGCGCTACACCTTGAAATATTACTTTACAATTTTTTCTCAATTCCTTTTGTGATTCCATGGTCATTGATGTAATGTTTTGTGTTTCGTCTCTAAATACTTTGATGCGAGGAAAATGTTCGATGACTTTATCCATAAGTACGTCGTCTGTTACCATAACTATTTGTTTATGTGCTGTCGCTTGTGCTATTGCCTGCAACGTTGCGTGTGACACCGCGCTACTGTCCGTGTTCCGCCATACAATAAGGAGCACCTTTTCGGTCTTCCTCAACTCTGCTTGAAGTGAGCAAAAGTCCGCCATTGGCAAATTGGCTACACACTCTATATCCAACACTGCGTACTTGTTGATCGAGCTCAAGTTCCGTAAGCATTGCATCGCTTTCATAGAGGTCAGCGCGACCGTTTCTGTGACTATGAACATTTGCGGAGAGAGCTGTAAGAGTGTCAACCACTTAGGAGTGGATTCATTGAAGCTATATCCGCTATACCTCGAGCTGTTCACGTGAAAGGTGGTGTGAAGCGCACTGATTTGCGGTTCCGCTTTGATGTTGTTTATCGCCAGTTCATAAAGGTTACTCGCTTTGTTTAGATATGTGCCTGACTGCCGCATCCACCAGTTGACTACCTCGTCGTGGTAGTGTAAGAACACAGAGCGACATTGCAGGGCACTGTGATTTGCTTTCTTATACAGCAGGTTCTGTATCTCATCTTTCAAGTGTTTCTCGACCTGGAACTGGTTGCTTTGTTTGTCATAGATGACTAGTTTACTGATAAACTGTCTCGCTGTGTCGGTGCAATCGAAGCGTAGTTTAGGCAGCTTTGTAGTTTTTACTTCGAATCTATAACTAGACAAATGATCCATGCCATCCATTTTTTCTTTCAGTTTTTTATATAAAGTTTCGGCGTTACTCTGGTTGGGAGTATAACAATCGGCAAACATAAGCATGGCGGTGCTCTCGTCCCATGTCAGAACGTTACCGATGCCGCTCGCCAGGCCTCCGCCGTGGGTCAAGAGGCCCCCGTCTACGGTGTCATCGATTGTGACAACTTTAAGCGACTCGACCCGTTTGTAGCGCTGACACAAACCTAAGATGCCAGTCACCAAGTAGATCAGCCTCTTCTCCACTTTCTTGGGACCGCCGCTCAGCACCATGTCGATGTTGCCGAACCCAACCGGGACGTTCAGTCTCAGAGCCCGTAGATATGCCTCGGCCGTTGTTTGTGGCGAAACTGTCATTTGACTCAACTGCTCTACGTCACTGTCAGGTCTGTCAATTAAAAATTGTAATGAACCGTCTTCATTGGTCGCTATGTGCGTCGCAATCAGCGGACTTAGCGCGGCGGCCGACTTGTGTAACAAGAACGATGCTATTAGATCGTCCACTGACGCTTCTGTTGAGGTCGAGTCCGTCCCCCGGCACTTGGTCTTTGGATGTTTTTTAAGTATTTGTTGGAATAAATTATGTCGGAACAACGCAACAGGTTTGTGCTGGGATTCGAAGAATTCGTGTCGAAAAGATAACGTCCGCCATTTCAAATCTGCTTTATCCGTTTGAATGTCACCGACTTCTAGCACATGTCTCGTCAAGACGACGTGATATTGCTGTAAGTACTCGTCGTTCATGATGTGCGCTTGCTTCGTTTTATCACACAAATACGTTGCAAACCGTTCAGCCAGCAACGTGAGATCCTCCTCCAGTTTGCTTTCGGCAATGTCTAGTACAAGCCGCTCGGAGGGACGCAGCCCACGACCGACAGAGTCACCGGTCACCAGCAACTGATTAATCAAACTGTCGTCATTGCGCACAAACTTCGTGAATAAATCCTCGGATTTGAGCGCTGAATTTGTGACTTTGAATTCAGCGTTTGTGTACAAAATAAATATACTATCTGTTTTATAAATGTTTTTATCAAAAAAATAATCGCGATCCTTTTGCGAACAAATCTTATTTGTGATTGTAACAAAGCTATCCACGTATTTGATTAAATCGGTCTTACTGTCGTTTATTGTTAGAAATGCATCGTCGTGTATTTTGTGTTTGAGTTGGATGAAGAGCGTCAGGGGCTGCTCTCGCCCCACCACACTCACTTTAACACAGATGTCATCGAACGCGCCCATTTTGTTCATGTTGGTTGCCAGGCAAAAGTCTGCCACGCGATCGTCGTTCAGCAATCTTAGCATAACCAGAGCGATAAGTTTCGTTTCGTAAAACTGTCCTTCGACGCCGGAGGTGCCGAGCCGCTTCTGGTAGTCCATGGGAATGTCGCGACCTGAACCGCTGACAACTGTCCACCGACGCGTGCAAAACGGCAGACAATCTGGAAATGTAAAACATTTTGATGGTGAAAATCGTCACAAACTTAAAAGAAAATCAACATTTACCTAGAATATTTTAACGACGAGGAGCAGGGGGAGGGGCTTTAGGGCGTCTCACCCCCTCTGACTAACCAACTGCAATAAACTTGTCATTTACATTTTATCTTTACATGAAAATTATTATCTTATTCTTTTGCCTCCACTATTGAGAACAAGACACTGGTGACGGTGGGATGTGATGAGAACGAGACACGGGTGATGGTGGGATGTGATGAGAACGAGACACGGGTGATGGTGGGATGTGATGAGAACGAGACACGGGTGATGGTGGGATGTGATGAGAACAAGACACGGGTGATGGTGGGATGTGATGAGAACGAGACACGGGTGATGGTGGGATGTGATGAGAACGAGACACGGGTGATGGTGGGATGTGATGAGAACAAGACACGGGTGATGGTGGGATGTGATACGTACAGTTTCATATTTAGTTGTGAAACAGTGTTCATTGCATCTTGAGATTTGCGTATCTTCCGTATAACACTGTGACAACTGCAATGATTCACTTTGTTTATCAGCTGTTAACTCTCCCGTCAGTTCAGTGGACTCTGTAATTAATTAATTAATCTAAAAAATATATATAATATATATAAAAAAAAAATATTATTTTGACCACATTTACAAGACTGAACAGATAGTACCAAGTCAAGTTAGTACTTAATGGTCAACACAAGCGACCATTTCCTTGTGCACCAACCTTTCGCAAACATTTCACTACATGAACATATAGAAAATATATGGTATGGTGCTAATTATGGAAAATATAACACTCACAACAAGTGAGTTTCACTTAAATCTACTGATATCTTACAAGATTGGACACTCTGTGGGTTCAGCGGTCTGATATTGGACCATTGAACAAACTTGTAGCCTCAGAACTAAACATTGTAATTGTAAGACGCTCCTAGTGATTTAATTCTTCATCGGGTACACTGATGCTTGTTTACAATTTAAGATACACACAATACATTCACACATAGGCTATACATACAACCATAGTGTAACACACACTTGAGATAAACACCTCATGTTTATGACAATGTTTAGTATCAATATAAGTTAACTTATAAGATATTTTATATGTACACAACATACACCTCTTGGCCATTTGGCAGCCAGAGTTTAAATAACAGAATGTAAAGCATCAAAGTTTTGCAGGCTGGCAGAAAGTAATAAAAATGGTGATGCTCACACCTGTCTTCAAGTTGACAGTAGCTCAATCCTTTTATTGGTACTCAATGTTACTAGCCGTGGGAGAGGCACAAATGTGCCAGCTCAACCGGAATGATACACCAGCTTAACAGAAAATTGGTGTTAAACAATTCTTTGGGTACTTCGTACTGGAGCCCTTATCTCCTCCCCCTAAGTCTGGTAGGCGGACTCAAAGGGCGGCACAACATTAATGACTTAGTTGCAGGTAGCATGTAACCAGCTCTTGCCCTTCTCCTGGCCTCCGGGTTTATTTATTATAATTCACAAAACTGATATACAATCTCACATACATAGTGTATTTTGTGTAATACTACTTCTTGGATGAGTTTAATTTACCTACACATTATAAATAGTATTTAAAAGTACATAGGCTGATGACCAAGACCAGATGAATGGAAGCGTGGAAAACAAACTGACATTGACATTTATAAATACATTAGTAAATCCAAGACCTGTCCACTGCCTTTTCAGAAGCTGGATACCGAGCTCCAGGTTCTTTTCTCCGGGGCCCAAGGGACGCCTGACCTCGATGAACATTTTGGTGATGTCCGAAGAAAGGTTTACTGCTTCAACTGTTTGCTCTAAAAGAATCTAAAGTTGGCAAAATGTTCGCTACCACAATCTACATTTTTGTGAGGGACACAGTGAGAGAGAGAGTCGGAACCTAAATTACCCAACCCATAAACTGCTTCACCAAAGACTACAAACGCGTACATTATCGATTTTGTACCAATTGGTAACAGTACCTACATACATACATACCTGTGCGTTTCGTACAAATCGAATATTTTCGAAGTGTTCACTGTAAACACGAAAGAGAATATATTACAACTTAATCATTACAATATTTTTCTTATTTCAATTGATCAATTTATTGATAGCTATGATAAAAACTTGAAAACTTTGTGATTATTTTTAGGAAAAAGTGGGCAGTGGCTACTTAGGTTATATTACTCTATGGTGGCTACAGGATTCTGTGCTACAGGATACTTACACAGGATATTTATTTATGAACAGTGTTGCCATACGAAATTTGAAATAAGCATCACGGCTGCAAACCATAGAACTTTTCCCTGAAATTAATAACTAATAAAAATTTCATATTTCGACTTTTAAATATCGAACATTCATCCAGCATTAGCAGAAATATGGTAACTTATTCTTTTTTAAATTAATTACACAAAATGTTAATATTATTAAAACAAAACACAACAATTTGAAAAAAGAAAATGTGTATTTTTTTTAACGAGTTCTTGTTTTTTTAGTTATAGCATGTCTCCTAAATGTAAGACTTTTGCAACCTGTCAAGTTTGCTCTAAAGATTTTGAATCTTAAGTTGTGACCAAAGTGTAAAAACCTAATAAAAACCCATTGACACTGTAAAATGTTATCCACAATAAAAAAACATGAACTAGACATGGGAATTAGTGCCACTTTTAAATCATATTCATTTGATGAAATGACTGGCTTTGGTCATTGCGATTTCACCTGCAATAAATCGCTACTTAGATTTGGTCACAGACAAAGATTAATGCCAACAAAATCAATCAAAAAGACCGATATTTTTTAGATTTAGTTCTTTCGCTTGTCTGGCACTAGTCTAATAATAATTAATCGCAGTGATGTTGTAGATGAGTCACAAGTGTGATGAGGTTTAAAATCAAATGTGATTGTGATTTTATCCCATGCTTTCTATGAACCTACATCAAATCTTATCCCTCGTACAGTAAACCACAAAATAATGTCGTTTTTCTACTAGGAACGTCTTACGGTTGGCAGCCCTGATATATATATACCAATGTGTGTAATATGTAAGTAAATGTCAGAATTTTATAAGGGAGAGAGAGAGGGAGAGAGAGAGAGAGAGAGAGAGAGAGAGAGAGAGAGAGAGAGAGAGAGAGAGAGAGAGAGAGAGAGATAATTTTTCAGGCTTTTCAGTTCTACTCCTAACCAGCTTTAAACAAATATTTGTTTTTGTGGAGACTAGGACACGAGTGATTTTGCCTACAAAGATTGATTTAAAATGGTATTAACTTATATAACAACGAAGTTCGCGCAAGTAGCACATCAGAATGCAATTGTAGGTATCTGAGGGGTAATTATGTAAGCACGTGAACATCTATACAAACAATTGAACACACTTAACTAAAGGCAAATAAGTAACACAAGGTCTAGTTTCAGGAAAATATGAGTCAACAATGGGAGTAATGGCTGGTAAAAAGGTAGAAAATACATCTTGCACCTAATTTTATGGTAGTCTACACATACATTACGTTTAACAAAAAACTGTTGCAAGTAATTTCCTTAAATGACATTTCTCGTGTTTTTTAGCGTCTTTAAATTACGATGATCACTAATATCCAAAAATAAATGAGATATTGAGGAAGTTCATTAGGTTGAAAATTAATTGCAGCTAGTTTTTTTAAATACCTACTTGCCTCAAATTAATTAGATCAGATCAGTATTTTACAGTTTACTTGTTTGCCATCTTTTTATTTAAGATATTAAGGTAATCGTGCGGAAGTAGGGACCCATTTGATCTATAACGTAGGTATGATCCATATACAATTAGGTACAACTTCTTAGTAGCCTGATAATTCCTGCAAACAATAAATAAAATGTTTAGCAATCCGACGGGAATCTGGTGCAAGCCTTCGTCGATGACGTGACCTCGAGGTGAGAGCTACTGTGAGTCTTGGGCACCATGAAACTCTCAAGGACGTCCTAGCCCATGCTTTGGAGGTAGAAGCCGTGAGACAAGACTATCGGTCTCATCGCATCCGGGAGGTTGTGGTGTCACCTGTGCGGGACCGTTTTAAGCGGTATAGTCCTAGATGTTACGCCTGTGGCGAAAAGGGTCATTTTCGATCTAGCTCCTCTAAGCAAAGCATATGACATGAAGACGAGTGGCCTCAGGAGGTTAGGGCGGCTAATAGCATTGCCCAGCGACAGCAGGGAAAAGAGTAAACGCCAGGACTGCTGGGCGGGTGCAGGCTGGTTTTCAAATAGCCCCAAGGATTTCATCTATCATAGGCGAAATCAACGGAACGCTTTAATATGTAAGCTGTCGATTGATACGGGAGCTCCACGCAGAGTTGTCAGTTCATAACTTGCAAATCGGTTTTTGAGGGCCATCACATGTAACCTAGTAACAGCCACTGGTTAGCGCATACTCGAAGGTGGAGTTGAAGTTGGGCAGCCAAGTTTATTTGCATAAAGTCATCGTGGCTGGTACAGTTGGCGTCTGCATCTTTGGTCTAGACTTAATGAGGAAGAATGGTTGTGAAATCGACTTTAAACAAGTTGAATGAGATTTATGACCATTTCAGACAATCAGCTTAGTTCAACAAATGTATGAGATGAAAACCCGATATGAACGGAAAGTGAACATTCGAAGAGAGTTCGCTAGTGTGGCTAACTAATCCAAACAAACACTCAAAACATTCCCCTGACTTCTTTAAAATAATTTGGTTGCTAATTCATATAAGGTAGGTTACAAAGTTTACTTACCGATTTTCATCATGCGAATTATCGAATAATTACTAGATACTTCTTCAGACTCCGAGTGTAGAACAACAAAAAAAGCCGTGTGGTGTCGTGGGACACCCGATAGGAACGAAGTTGTAACGATCGAGTAAAACTGATTCGGCACATTTTAATTACAACGCCATCTATGAAAGCGGCTATTACCTACATATTTTTCAGTTGGTTTCTAATTAAAACAATTTATACATTGGTAAAATCTCCTTGAGAAATGATTTCCTATCTATTCGATAGATGGCGCTGAATGACTGACATAAAAAGATAGAAATGAAAATATCTGGCTTGCTTTCTATAAGAGAGAGAGAGACAGACAGAGAAACATGCGACGCCGCACAGCTTACAATAGCTTACTATAGCAAAAAGTGTCGTGACAAAATTCGTAAGAATTTTTTCCGTCTAGACCCCTTTCACAACGCGCGACAAGATTGTAGAACAATCATTTGCTGCAACAAACAAATGTCATGTTCTGCGGCGGAAACGGCGACTTAGCCAATAAGAATATGTCTAATTCTTACCTACTGGTTGTTTGAAAGTTAAAGACATTACAATGTCTATAGTTCGTTCTCGTTAAGAATGCAGTGAGCCATCATTGTCCAGACTAGCCACGCCCCGTAACCAATCAAAACATTACTAATTAGAATTTTATAAATCCATTTTGTTAGAGCTCCCTGGATTAAGGTGGCGGCAAATAAACACCATATCAA